AGACAGACAGACAGACAGACAGACAGACAGACAGACAGACAGACAGACAGACAGAGAGACAGACAGACAGAGAGACAGACAGACAGAGAGACAGACAGACAGACAGACAGACAGACAGACAGACAGACAGACGAGGGAAAAGTGGGAGAGGAAAAAAGGGGTGGGGGGAGGCGGAGCGGAGGGGGCCGGCGGGCGGAGGCGCAGGCGAGGTGGCCCCCGAGCAGAGAAGAGGTGGGTGGAGGCAGGGAGGAGATGGTGGGCGGTGGCAGAGGGGAGGTGGGAAAAGGCGGAGAGGAGATGGCATGGGGAGGCAGAGGGGAGGTGGGTAGGGGTGGGCGGAGGTGGATGCGAGGTGGGCGGAGGGTGGAGAAGAGGAGCAGAGGTGGAGAGGAGATGGTAGGAGGAGGCCGAGAGGAGATGGTGGGCGATGGTGGAGGGGAGATGCCTGGAGGAGGCGGAAGGGAGGTGGGCGGAGGCAGAAGGTGGGAGCCAGTGGCAGAAGGGAGGAGCGATCTTAAGACTTTAAGATCGTGGGACGATCCAGGCCGTTCGACAAATCGGACGGTCTGGATCGCCGCACGATCTTAAAGTCTTAAAGTCTTAAGACCACGCGGAAATCCGGGTTGTCGGCCGGTAGCCCGCAGGCGGCCTAGATCGGCCAAATGTTGCCACCAAATAGCGATTTCTATAAGTGTAGGGGTAATAATAATAATAATAATAAGAATAAGAATAAGAAGAAGAAGAAGAAGAAGAAGGAAGATTGGAGAGAAGACGAGCACAACCAGAAGGAGGAGAAGTGGCGGAGAGTAGCCATGCTGCGGAGCTGAGACTCCAGCAGGTTGAGGACTTAGACCGGGTGGAGAAATTTGGATACCGGACAAAGCTTCCTGAGTGGACAGACGAAGAGAAGGATTATTTTGTAGCGAAGTTGGCATCAACAAAAGATCAAGAGGACAAAAAGTTGTTGATTGAGGAGAAAAAGGGCGAACTCAATCAAAAGTTGATGGTCGCAAGAAGAAAAGAGTTTGAAGAGAAAAAAAGATTAAGGGGAGAGACATCAGACGTTAAACGATCAGAAAGGAAAGCGAGTAGAAATTGAGGAACGCTGGGACCTTCTAACTGGCACTTCGCTACACACCACTCAGGAACTCTCTGCACTTCAGTGAACTGTTGGAAAGATGGAAAAACACGAGGAAGACTTTAAGGGTATCTGGAATAACTACCTCAACGCGTTATCCAGCCAAGTGGACCATAGGGTCCTACAACATGCACGCCAATTAGACAACATCTTCGCTCAAAAATTGACTAACACCATCGCCACAATTAAGACAGGTGGCGATGGCGAGGGTGAAGATGGTGGCGATGATGGGGATTGCGACAAGAAAGGAAAGGGTCCTACTAAGGATTATAGAAGGAAAGAAGGAGATAGGTATGAGGGAGGGGAACGAAGGGAGATGAAGATAAAAGTCCCTTGGACATACACTGGGAAAAAGAAGGAGAGCATTTTTCATTGGGAGGCGGCGATGGACACGTACCTGTATGCACAGTTGATTCCGTATTGGGACTATGTACTAATGGTAAGTTCATGCCTAAGGGAAGACAAAACAAGCTTTGCTATCTCCTTAGTGAAGGAGGCAGGTTGTACCTCGATGGTGCAATACTCACAACGCATTAGGATAGAGGACGTCTTCAAGGCTTTGAAAGATTGATTCGAAAGTAAGAACTTGGACCGCCGTACCATGGACGAGCATGGACGACCTGCTGCAATGTCCTCAACATTAGTGATTGGAAGTGGAAGAGTGCGTTGACACTCAAGGCCACCATGGACGACCTGCTGCAATGTCCGGAACACGGACTGACCCCCGCTCAAATCTTAAACAATTTCGCTAGAATGCTGCCAGAACCCCTTAAGACCCAATTATATCCCCGTACTAAAGAGGAGGGGATGGCTTACGAAAAGTTTAGTAAGATTGTTGTAGACCATGCCGGCTTCTTGCAGGAGGCAAACTATTGTCACGACTGGAAGGATTTGCAAGCCGGTAAGAAGTGGAAAAATAGGACCATATCCGACAGTATAGAAGGGCAGGATAATCTGCTGGTCACCTTCGAGGAAGGAGGTGTAGAGTCGTTACCGTATGACCAAGTAGATTACGGTTTAGAGGAAGAGAACAACAACCAAGTAGCCCGGGGAGGGGACTATGCGGTAGTTGCAGCCCGTGGGGGAGGGCGACAAGGTAGAGGCTGAGGTAGAGGAGGCCGAGGTCGAGGACAAGGTGGAGGATGAGGGCCCGCTGCCCAGAGGGATGGTGGGGAAGGTAGCTATTATGTGGGAGGTAGGGGTTATGGTTCCTCGCAAGGTAATAGAAGTTCTCCTTTCACAGGGGGTAGAGGTAGAGGTAGATATTGGCGGCCGTAGCCAGAGCAACCGGGAATAGCCGAAGGGAAACCTTGGTTGGAAATGGGTGTACGCCGCAACGCCGAGCAATGTTTCAAGTGTGGTGACCCCGACGACGTTGTTCCTTTTTGTCCCGAGTAGCGGTACCCAAAAAGGAACAACCAGTAGAGGTTGCAGTCGCCTCTATTGGGACTTCAAACTTAGACAGGAAGATAGAAGGGCGGGCTGAGAAGGCACCCTCTTGTTTGAAGATCCCATCAGCAAAGACAGTTGTAGGCCCCCACCTAGCTAGTTATCCAGAGGTTGCTTGTGCTAGGACTTCTCTAGGTGGTTCCTTCACAAACATTGGTGATGAACTGATCACTCGTTGCCGCGCTCGGGCCGAAATGAAGAAGAAGTCGAAGGGGCAGCTAATAATAGCACATGTGGAGGTGAGTTGGGAAAGGATTGGCGCGTTAGTAGACAGTGGATCAACACACAATTATATTAGTAGAAGCGGGTTGCAGAAGATGCACCGGGGAATGGAGGTGAAAAAGCTTGATGAGCTGGTCATTAGTAAATTTGTCGATAATAGAGAGATGATAGTGTGCGAATAAGGGGTTAAGAGATGATAGTGTGCGAATAAGGGGTTAAGGCATACTTCCGATTGGAGGCAGGTGGCAAGGTAGAAAAAGTTTTGCACTCCCTGACACTCTTAGTGAAGGATAGAATTCCTTTTGACATGATATTAGGAACAGACTGGGGCAATGCTGCGTATGCTCACGTTAAGATGGGTGAGCACGAGTGTTGGATGCCCAGTCCTACATGTGGGAAGAAAAAACTGCGTTTGTTTCATGCATCCTGCGTTGAGAGTAGTTTGTCCCTTTGTTGCGAGTAGTTTGTCCCTTTGTTGTACGAGTGTCCGTGCGTTCGCCAAGCACGTGGTCAAGAATGACCTTGCTGAACAAGTGTTTGTTGCTTATGTGAGGCCGATTAGTGAAGGGAAAAAGGAAGAAGTACCTATACCACCCAATGTGCAGAGTTTGTTAGACGAGTTCGCTGACGTGGGAGAGGCCCCAAGTGGAGTTGTAGAGAGGGAGACCAAGCATTGGATAGACATAGAACTCGGTAGCCGGTGTCGGGCGGCTCCAGCCTTACGCCGCCCTTTACTTCCTTGATGATAACACTTAAGGAGGACATAATTCAGTCAAATTGCCTGACGGGATCTCGATCGACGTTGAAAGGTACGATATCAGACTCCCGCAACGGATGTTGAGGCCGAGGGGTCAGGAAAAAGCAGAACCATGAATTTTGGATAGGCACCCCTTTGCGCGCACTACTGAGGCGAATCACTGACAAAGGTATAAACGAGCGACTACTACCGAGGAAGTGCCGGAGGCTCCAGGCAAAGGGACAAGAACGGATGGCATTAAAGAGCCAGACGATGGACCAAACAAGGGGGGGGGGGTCAGACTTCTGAGACGAGCCCTCAGGTGAGCTAAGTGGTGGTCGGCACCGAAATTCTTTGTGGAGCCGATACGGAGGGGAAACGCTGCTCGAAAGCACTTGGGATATTAACCGACGGGCCCTAAGTAGACCGGGAGTAGCCTAAGGCTAAGAGAAGGGCCCTCGGGCCGCAACCTTATTTCCAGGGTGGGGCCCTACTAAACTTGACAAGGCATGGTACCTTTCTATGTGGGGACCACAAGGGCCGCGGCAGGTTGGGCATAGGTTCGGCATGAGCCTCGGTACCGGGGCGCTGCAAAAGGCACAGTACCCGACAATAAGGCCCCCTTCGCTAAAAACCCTTCGGGGCCCCAAATAGGCCCGGGTACAGGCTCGGGAAAGCCATGGTACCGGGGCGCTGCAACTTCCCGGGAGCCTGGAGCACACAAGGGGACTGGGGCACTCTGAGAAGGGGGCCCGCAAAGTATATAAGCCCAACCGGGCTCAAGGGCTGGACACTTCCTACTTGCTCACGTCCAGGGGCACAAGTGAAGCTCACCGGGGAGAGCAGGGGACAGGGGCGACTTCGGACTGGCTCGCGTGTAGGCACACATGAGGGGCACAGGAGACTTGGAACTGGACAGTCAGGCGTGCGGGGAGAAGAACGACGACAAGAGTTTCACATGTTGGCGCACCTACGGAAGGGACGCGCTGGGAAGAACAGCGAAGGACGAACCAGGAAGAGAGGAGGCAAGCTATAACCTTGCACACCGAGGAGTGCGCGCACCAACGCGATCGAGGCGCCTCGAGCCGCTTGCGACAACGCACGCCAGTGCGCGATCTGGCGGAAGTGCCACGCTCATGCGTCGTACACACTTACTCGCCCGCGCATGCATTCGAGCGCACTAATCGAGGTTGGGCGCAGGTGGTAGCGTGCAGCAGCAGATACGCGCTCATACTCAAGCGTTTTGCGCATGATTGAGCATGTGCAGTTTTGCTCTCACACGCGCGGAGTCAGGACGGGACTGCGCGCGGATGGGCGCACGTTGAGAAGGTTAGTCACGAACTCGCGCGGGCTTGCGCGCGATCGCTCGTACGACGAGGAGGCTGCGAAAGTGCATGAGCGGGCCTTGCGCACAGTGGTGCACACGATCAGGGGGCCGTGTGAGTACAAGCGTTGGCTCGTCCGCACTCGCTCCTACTTGTGAGAGTTGCGCGCGACCGAAAAAGACGAGAGCAAGACGATGCACGGTCATGCACCCGCTGTGCACGGACAGGGCATTCGGCGCATGACAGATCCCGGGCGGACGTTTGAGCGCACAAGGGGGAAGCCACACACGCGCGCGTACTGAGCTACGCGCAACCGCGCGCATTGACAGGGAGCCACACGCACACCCGCGTTGAGCCGCACGCGCCCACGCTTATTGATAGAACCGAGCGCACGTGCGCTGTGCCCACTCGCCTGCGTCCATCCACGGGGGCCTACTCGCGAAGGCAGGCGAATGCGCGATATAGTCGCGACAATTCCGCACGGGATCCGCCTTGCGAGCGATCGCGGAAATCTTGTGTACACTTGGAGGACCTCGGCGCACTAACGGATAGACTATCGCGCTGTCAGACAACTGCGCACTATACGAGAAGCCACGCTAGGGCGCGTAGCGATACGGGACTTAGGCTGGCAGCAACGTACTGTGGTCGTCTCAATATTTAAAGAACACCGAATCCAGCACCGCAAGCCAGGGACGCGAAACTCAGGGGGGTGACTAGGCTTTTCCGAGACTCAGGTGCAGGTCT